GCAGGAATGAGAAAGCAGATGCCGCACTGCCGTTGGTATTGGAAAGTAACAAGAAATCACATACAGCGGCCCCTGTGATACCAGATGAGGAGTCGGATGCTGAGCTCGACAGGTCTGGGGCAAGAAACTAGTAGGAAAGGGAAACTAATGGCAGGTTTGTAAGAGCAGATGTGGGGAGAAGGGAGCTATTGGTAGCTGTGTTTCTTGGCGAATCTTGTGCTTTTGGACCTTCTTCAGCTGAGTGGTAATGGAGCAGAGTAGGACTTTGTGTAGGAAATGGCACGCAAGTATGTTAGTCAATGACTTGAGCAAAGCCTACGTTGTGTATAACCATCGTATTTATTCTGTTTGACTTAAATACATGTTTCCTGGAATTGTGGATATATCTACCCATTTTAATAGTGGACCTGCCTTATTCTGTCACTTTATCAATATATAAGGAAATCCCAAGAATCAGCTTCTAGTCTCTGGGTCACCTGACTCCTTCCTGCACTTGACCAGGAGATCCAGCTCCAGATCTGCTCACAGAACTGCTCTTTCACCAAGCTTCAGAGTAATTTCTAGAACTTCCTATGGAACCCTTTCAGGTTAGGCTTCATGTAGGAAGGATGATGTAAGAGCAACGGTGTTACAACAATGTTATGAGCTGGTTCTTTCCCTTTTGTGTGGATAGCTAGGGGAAGAAAGACCGTCTGTACCCCACATGCTAACTCTTACCTTTATTTCTTTTACAGTGATGATGACCTTATCCCTTATGACATGTCAGAGGATAAAGAACTAAAGACTAAGGCTCCTGTGTATATCCGAGACTGTATTGAAGGTAGGAGATTTTGGGATGATTCTTTATCTGTTTCATACTGATTTTGGGAGAGTGGTCTCTGTGTAGGTTTATTTTTTTCTGAGCTAATTTGAAGAAGCTGTAGGATTTCAGTAATTTGGGCTCAAATGTTGAACTGTAATTTCTGAGTAATTTCAATTTAGTTCCTAATGCCAGTCATGTGCTGGGTCAGTGATATCTGCCTATAACAAGACAAACTATTGGCAGAAGAAAGTTAGGGGTATACACTCAAGCACAACCATTCTGTTAATAGCTTTTGTTTGTCTTATTGATTACCTAAGTCCTGACAGGATCTGAAGATGTGGACAAATGGGAAGCTACAATCAAGGCTCTTGAGAGCTTGGTTCGAAAGAATCCAGCAGCAACAAGAGAGGTGAAGTACTATGAGCTAAGTTACCAGTGGGATGTAATATGGGATTATACCGTTGCCCTTGTGAGGAAACTAAATATGCCAACAGAGCAGCAGGCCAGTCTAACGTGTATGTGGCTTTAAAGCTTTCAACTTGGGAAGGGAAATAGAAGGAAGCAGTTGCTTTGGAGGTGAGGGAGCACAAAGAAACAAAGCAGCAGGCGAAGGTGCTGGCAACAGTATGGCATTTAGCAGCTCCAGTGCTGAAAATGAAATGCATTGCAAGTAGAGCTTGCCAGTGACATGAAGAAGCAGAGGAAACTCCGTGCTTTGTGCTGGGTGCAAAAAGCATTAGAAATGCAGTTTACAGAGCAGCCACAAATTCCACAGGCCAGTTGATTATGATTTTGGACTTAATTCATTTTTAATTGAAATTTAATTTAATTGTGGTTCACCAACAAAAAGGGCTATAAAATCAAATGGACTTCCCCTATTTGCTTGTACAAGCATAATGTCTTCCTGCGGGAGTGGTTGGATTGTACTGATCACGATGAAAAGCTCAGGTGAGATGAACTTGGGGCAAGGTCACTGGTGTGATGAGTGTTCACCACTTGTTAGTGAACACTTGAAGGTGGCAGAGATACAGGCCTCTGCCAGCTGAGAAGGGGAAGGGGTGTCGTCCAGTAAACAATGTGCAATCTGCTGATGCTCATCGGACATGCTACTGAGCTGGATGGGCTTTGGGTGTGGTACTGTACCCTCTAACCCATCAGTTACAGTGACAAGTCCTCCTATATTATGATGCCACCGCTTGTCCAAAAAGCCCAAGTGCATGTGGACGGAGAAATTGGCATAGGAGTTTATTCAGTGTTTTAATTAAGTTTATTCATGAATTTATTTATTTTATATTATTTACTTAATTGGATGTTAATTGAATTTATTTATATGTTTATATATTAATTATAAATTTATATGTATTACTTGAATTTATTTATGTATTTTATGTTATTTATTTAATGAAGTTTATAATGAAGTTTTATTCAAGTGTTTAATGTCTTGATGGCATTTAGCTTAATGTGTTTTCTCTCCCTCCTAAGTAATGGACATGCTGCCTGTATTCCATACCCTCATTGTCTTTGCTTAAACATTAGAAATGATGTGTAAACCCTGTGAGGAAAAAAAAATGTGCAGGGATTTGATTCCTTTTTTTCATATTTTGAGCAGGTTAGCGTGGAGCTGGCAAAAATATTATTGCATCTGGAGGAGAAGACGTGTATTGAAGGCTTTGTGGAGCTCCGTCAGAAAGCTCAAGTAGCTGTTTTAACCACAGATCCAATACCTGTAAGTCCCTCTTACTGCTTTCCTTTTTCCAGTTGAGGCACAGGCAAAAATTTGCAGCTATTCACAAGCAGCTGAAGTCTCTTGCTAGCTTGACAGAAGCAGGTATCAGAGTGTAGTAAGTTCATGTCTGACAGCATTTATGCAGAGATGGGCTATGTACTGAAGAATCTGCAGTGGATGACTGAAAACAACAGGAAAGAGAAAACTCTGTAGCTGTAATGGACTGGAGGAACTGTTTGGAGGCTGTTAGTATGAGTATACCTGACAAGGCAAATTAGATATGGATTTGTTGTGCTGAAGGGGAGATTGTTTCACATAGAGGGAAGCTGAGGCACAAAGGGCTTCTCTAGAAGGAGACTTGACTGGTGATTGTAATCAGAATCGTAGAATGGTTTGGGTTGGAAGGGGCCTTTAAATATCATCTACTACCCTGCTGTGGGCAGGGACATCTTTTATTAGATCAGGTTGCTCAAAGCCCCGTCCAACCTGACCTTGAACACTTCCTGTCATGGGGTGTCCACAACTTCTCTGGGCAACCTGTTGCAGCGCCTCACTACCCTCATTGTAAAGAATTTCTTCCTTACGTACAATCTAGATCTATGATCTGTCAGTTTAAAACCTTTACCCCTGGTCCTGTCAGTACAGGCCCTGGTAAAAAGTCTCTCCATCTTTCTTACAAGCCCCCTTTAAGTATTGAAAGGCTGCAGTAAGGTATCCTTCGAAGTGCCATGGCAGTTGTTTGGGCGCCTCTGTATAGGAGGGAGAGAAGAATGGCAAAGTCCCATTTGTCATTTACTTTCTTTGGGAGACTCTAGAAGTGGAAGTGCCTGAATTTCCCCTATTGCAGAGCGTGGCTCTTCCTTCTTTTGGAGGCTTGTGGTTAACTAACAGGAAGCAGGACTTCTGAAATGGAGTGCTTTTAGAATTAGTGGGAAGGCTGTTTCCAGCCTGGGTGTATGTTCATTGCGCCTTGATTTTTCTGTACAGGTAGCAAAGTACTTGACCTCCCAGTTCTACTCTCTGAACTACAGTCTTCGTCAGCGCATGGACATTCTCGATGTAAGTGCTCTTCAATTCCCACTTTCCTTGTGTCTTTGTTGCACCAGTGCTGTTTCACTGAGATGTAATGGGGTTACCTTTTATTCCTCGGAGGAGGCGGCAGAAGCATGGGAACCTCTTACATTAGCATTTGTGCCTGGCATTCCCCTCTTGTTCGTAACACTGCTACACTCCAATTATACAGCAATCATTCCTCGCAGAATGCAAAACATACGATGGTTATTTGGCTGGGAGAAGCTGCTGTTTCCTAACATGTCATCAGTCTGTTGTATCTTCACTTTCTGAAAGACAGCAATCTGCCTGTCACTCCTACATCATTACTGTGTCTGAAGAAGGAGCAACTGTTCTGTTTCAGGGTTAGATGACCAAGTGGTTGTTCAGTACCTCAGAGCCAATTGGTTGTTTGGAGGTCAGTTACCTTGCTGTTCTTCATTCTAAACCTGTTGTGCCTTTTGCTTTGCTGTTCCTATCAGTTTGGGTGCAGGTAAGTGTTGTTGTTTTTCCCTAGTACATGGGTTACCCCTTTCTAACAGAACCTCCCTCTTTTTCATCTAGGTATTGGTTTTGGCAGCTCAGGAACTATCCTATCCCAAATCCCATGGGAAGACCAAGCATTCTGGTGCCCAAAAACCTTGTATTCAGCTCCTTCCTGGAAGTGACAGCTCTAAGGTCTGGAAAAGAATTGTTGATGAGAGGATCAAAAGCAAGACTCGGAGATTTGCTATGGTGAGGACAGGGCAGAAACAAACTAATGTCAAATACAGTAAAAATTGAGATGATAAGAGTTGCTGTCGAAAGAGCAAAATACCTATGAAATTGGGCCCAATCCAAAGGAAGAGTCTGTAACTTCAGATATAAATTTGTCTTAGTATCTGGCTGAGTCTTTCAGTGCAGAGTACCAACTCGTGTAGTCCTGTCCCACCAGGGAGAGAAAAATAAACCCTGAACTTCTTGCCTTGCATGGGGAGATAGTTATTGCTGTTCTGTGTTTGTTCTGAGCTTGTCTGGCCACTACAGGGAGCTGTGACTGCACCTCACGGATCCCAGAGCTTCCTCCATCAGACTAGCTGCCTCTGGCCTGGACTGTTTCAGCCTCCCTATTTGATGCCAGTTTCCTAGTTCCCAGAACTCACCTGTGGTTCACTCTGGAGAACTTGCTTTCCAAAACTCCTTTATCCCTTTCATGTTCTTGTTTCTTAGATCTAACCCAGCAGTACTGAGCTACGTTGTACTAAAATATGTAGATATATGAGAGTGGGAAGTGAGCCATCTAGTCTGGAAACTAGTAGCCATAGGCGTACAAGCAAGCAGTGGCTGGCAGTGGGATGGCTGCAAGGAACCCATGGTCTTGACAGTGTCCAGTGAAGTGGAAGAGTCGGATGCTGTCTTGTGTCTAGACTTAATTTTTCTCTTGGGCAGGGTCGGTCTCAAGTGGAACTGTCTTCTGGCCCAAATGAGTTCAATTCTGTTGCTGGGCACTTCTTTTTTCCATTGATTCAGCACTTTGACAGGTGAGTGTGAACACCTTGGGATGTGGGCATGGCATCTGCCGGAGTGAACCTTTCTGCTTGTTCTGCTTGCCTCGGAGTAGCAGGCTAAAGCCCAGAAGCTGTGTGGGAGTCCCGTGACACCACACTGATGCCTGGCCCATGCATAAAGCTTAGAGAGGAGGGGTTTGTGTTCTCTTGACCTATTCTTTGAAGTCTTGTTGGGTAGGAGTATGTAAGATGCTGCAGAAGTGAAGATACATTATGAAGAATAACCTGTCAGCAGGTGCACAGGTAGATGATTTTGGCAATACCAAACCAGCTGTCTTGGCTGACCCTCCACCTTGGGAGGTTCACACAAAACTGCAGAACTCAGATTGCAGTCTTCAACCAAAGTTAACTCTGTCTCAGGTTTGGGCCTGTCACCTGGACTGGTCCTTGTGACCACATTATAGGACATACTTTATTGTCAGTCATTTAAATCTTTGCTTACCTAAAGAAGGCTGAGTAATTGATTCCATGAGAATCCAGATTCTTGTAATACCAGTCTTAACAGTTTGTTTCTGGTAAGGCAGTGGTGCTAGTTTTTGCATGCAGTTCTTTGTAAGTAAAACCTATTGGTAGAGTGATATCTGCTGTAAGAGAAGAGGATATTACTGGTCTGGGAGCAAAGATGAGAGCAAACAGCTGTGGCCTGTGTTAAACTGGGAATGACTGTACAATGACTGTTGTCGTAGGGATTCAGGCTTGTTGGGGACAGTTTGCCCTGCAAAACCACCCTGACTGTTACAAACATGCACTGATCAGCCTTCCCACTGCTACAGGGCTCTGTATCTTGCACTTGCAGGCCTTTGACAACATTTGATCTCCTGGGGGAAGATCACTTCGTCCTTGGAAGACTGGTCCACACTTTAGCAATCCTGATGTACTTGGCTGTCAACACTGTGGTAAGAAAGGCTGCATGAGCCTGCAGATAGCAGGAGAGACTTCCAGCCTGGGAACTCAGAGGTGCCTCCTGAAATAGCACCATGCTCTGGGCCCTGCTACACTTAGACCGGAAGCAAGTTTGAGTTGCATGTGCTGAGAAGTTGCAAAAAGGGCTGGGAAGAAATGGTCAGAAAAGAGACATGGGATTCAGGACACCCCTGCAATATTCTTTGCTGCTTCTGGTAGAAAAACTATCAACTTCTGTGCGAGGTTGGGCATATCATTTCACTTTACTGCCGAAGTTTACTCATCTGTAAAATAAAGTTAATTGTAACCCTGATCTTCACAGCAGTGTATCTCAAGGCACAGTTCTGTAGGGCGGTGTGAATGTGAAGGTATTCAGTGTTTCTGTCATAATCCTGTTTTGCAGGCAGTTACTGCAATGGGAAAGGCACTGCTGGAATTCGTCTGGGCTCTGCGTTTCCACACTGACTCGTGAGTTGTAGTTGTTTTTTAAAGATCAGCTGCGAGCCAGTCTCCAGCCATGGTTTGTCTTTGGCCAAGAGTAGCATCTGACTGAGAAAGTCAATGTCTTCATGCTCCCCTCCAGCCTTGTGTTCTTACGGCTGAGTATTGCAAGAATAGGTAATGAAGGCATTGCTTTAATGTCGGACCAACATATGAACTTGGCTAGTGTGGGTACAGTCATTACCTATAGAAAGCATGACAAATTCTCGATCAACTATCCATGTGATAGTTTCATCTATATTTACTCAGGGAGCTCAGAAAACTTTAGATTCAATTCCAGCATTCAACCCTGGAAAGAAATAAAGACATGTAGTCAAAATGCTGCAAACATCCGATTTCTGTTTTGATCTCAGACTTGGCCAGGACTGTGGATTATGCTAGGCTCCCTGCAGCACAGTATGGCAGGGACTCTGTGTGTGGGCACTCTGCCAGCTGGTGCATGATTACACTCCTAATCAATAGGAATATGGCAAAAGTCATCATAATCACAAACATTTGAAACTGGAGAACCCCTGAGGTAAGGAAATCAAGGTACAGCATGAAGTTGCAGGCTCTAACGAATTCAGTCTTTCTCCAACAGGTATGTGCGCCAGGGTCTTTTGTCCTGTATCTCCTCCGTGCTCCTCAGTGTCCCTACGGTGCGTCTTCTGGAAGACATGACAGAAGAGCTTTTGGAGACTCAGTCCTGGCTGGGAGGTAAGATGATGTGGTGTACGCCAGTGTTCTTCTGATTAGTGCTGCAGTCTTTGTGCAGTATCTCTTTAATTGTGATGGTAGCAGTAATGGTGTTGTGCACCAGAGATTTGCATGATAAGCGTATTTATTGCTTGCTTGTAAGTTTAGGGCAAATACCATGTGCTGTACAGATGTATTACATCTGTAGGTATCTACATATTACATCTGTAGGTATCTAAAGCATAAGCTGAGAGCTGCATATGGCATTTCAAAGTGTGACTATCCTCACCTCACAACCAAAAAAATCCCAAAATGTAGTATGTGCCCCCTTTCTGTGTCTAAGCATCCAACCACCCACCTCATGAAGCTGCAGAAAGTATTGGCATATTGCATCCAGGCAGTGACTTTGGCCAGCAGTAACATACAAGGCTTGTAAGGCCCGCTTACGCTATGTGTGCAGAAGATGGGTTTCATTAGTGCTAAAAACAGGAGGAAGAAGAGCACGGCCCCATCTCCTGACTTCCTATTGCTGATGGAAAGAACAACCTATGAAAGACAGTAAATGACTTTTCCGTGCTGCACCCAACGCACCTTACACCAACACAAGCTATGTTTGTGGGTTCTGGCAGGCTGGAACTGCACAATCGGTGGTCAGGTATCGCAGTGTGCTGGCAGTACAAGGGGAAATAATGCTGTGTGCTTTGTAGCTCTGAAGTGGAGTATTCTGAGTGGACTGCATGTGACTCCCTGCGTTGGTTTCCTTCACCATTCTCACTTCTGGCGAGTTGGCTTCCCACAGGGAGCAGGCAGGAAGCGACACTGAGACTGCCGGCCTCTGATCCTTGCAGGTTGTGGAGCTCTGTGCCCTTTAAAAGGAAGAGAGCTGCCTTGTGGGGCCAGAAACTTTACTTTTCCCATGACATGGGGTGCTCAGAGGAATCTGCTTGTCTCTGCAGTTAACACTGCTATGACTGAGTAAAGCCTTTCCAGGAATGTTATAAATGTATTTTCAGCCTGAGGGTCTGTGTAATCTGTTTTTAATGAGTTATTTTTGGAAGGAGGAAGATGACAGTGCTAGTAGCATCTTTTTATGCCGGTAGGTAGTGCAATAGCCATCTCTTCGTATGTAGTGCTTTTGCATTAAAATTGTGTGTTAGGTGCTGGTGGGAATGAGAGCAGGATAAGATTACAGTTGTGTATGTAGTAGAGAAAGGGAAATTGTTCTATGAGCCATTCAGAAACCTTAAAGAATACAACTCAGCTCTGTGTCTGGTCAGATACAATTTAAGTGCAATTTAAAACTTTGCATCCTTTTAGAGCTGCTTCCTGAAACACGACAGCTTCTTGGGCTATGCCTTTGCTATTTGTTGTGATTGTTGGTAAAACAGCTATCACAGGGAGGTACTGGGCTCCTTCTTGCTACTCCAACAGGTGAAGTCAGTCACTAGAGACCTACTTTTGTGACTGAATCGTGGTTCTGAGCTAGCAGACTTGCTGTTGCTTCATGACTCTTCCAGACAAGATTTGCAAGAGGTGTCATGCTGCTGTAGCTGGGAAAACTTGCAAGCTGTCAAGCGTGCAAGCCTTCTTCTACCATGTCTAATGGCCGGGAGAAGTCACCACTTCAGGTTTCAGCTTAAGGCATGTGCATTTCTCCTGCTATGGATAAAGCACAGTGAGGAACAGTGGGCTAGAAAATGTTATCCATGAAGCATTTGGTAGAAACCTACAAATCCGCTCCAGTTTGTTATTGTATCACAGCCTATGCAGATTGCTGGAGTTCATCGTGTGAATATGACTGACTGTTCCCGCCCTTCAGCCTCTGGGCTGTAACTAGAACTGTTCCCTGTTAGAAAGTGTTTACGGTGTGGTGTAAGAAACTACTTCAGTCACTGTCATGGTACTGTCTACTCAGGGGACGCTTTGGGACGTATCAGCTGGGGAGAGAGGCTAGGATCCACCGTGTACTTGTCTGTCATTGCCCTTAATGCCATGCTGGACCTACTTTGAGTAGCCTAATCTTCCCTGAGGGAGGGAGGGAGGGAACACCTAAACATTTCTAGGAAACAGTTCCTTTGATTCCTCAGCAGCAGCCCTTGAGGGAATTCCCCACCCCTTGCAAGTGCTGCAGAGCTATGTCGTAGGTAAGTTTGTTTTATCTAATGACCTGAATGATACTCTGGTGCCCTGTGCCTCCCTTTCAGTGGCAGCACTTCAAGGTCCATGCTCATGGCAATTAGAAACAGTGCCAACATCGGCCTTAGCTTTTGAGCCTGCACTAACCCGTAGCCTCCCCCTTTTTGCCTTCTGTAGAGGGAGCATGGAAGCACCATCGTGAAGCTCTCCCTGGGGTTATAAATAGCCCTACTCCATCTGAATGAGTCATGTGTTTGGGCTGACAGTACTGGGCGCTGAGCACACGGCTTGTGCGTACAGGATATCCTTACACAGACTCTCTGCTCTTCCAGGCTCCCCCTGCTCAGACATCCTGCGCGCATCCTGGTTTTTACCTTGCAAGCCCATTAAGGGCCCCTGAAATAACAGCTGCTGGAAGCAGCTTCATGCCCTCCCTTATATGCTGCGTGAAGTGTGAAAGAACTGCTGGTTTATCAGAAGACTAATCTCTCAGAATGGGGAATGTGTTGAAACTTGGGGCCTGCCTCTTTCTTCCCCTCATTTGAAGGGCAGCGTGACCACAGATTTCAGGAGGGAGCGCCGAGCGTTTGTTTAGGTTGCAGGAATTGGCAGAATGGAGACTTTAGGTTTTTGAGTAAGTGGATTTCTTAACTGCAGACTGCATTCATGCTAGTAGATCAGCTGTAGAAAGGTTATGTATAGCTCAAGGGCACAAGTGTGAATTCTGGCGTGGAGGTTATCCCATGGAATGCAAGGTCAGGCAGTTTCTATAGTCTTTCAACCCAAATGACTATTTGTTTCTGCTGCAAGAGTGAACTGAGCATTATCACATGTGACAGTCAGGGCTTGGCTAAACTCATGCTGCTTAAGATGATCAAGTTTGTGCATCTTTGCTTTCTGGTGTAACGTAATTCCTGCAAGTGCTGATGTCCAGCCCAGACTTAGTCGCATCTTCTGTGGCGTTTAGTGCCGTTCTGTGATGGTCAGTGAAATGGTAGAGAAGTGTTAGGCGGAGGGCATTTTTCCCATTTTCTTACTAACAGTGGCTTTTTCTTTTACAGATGTGGTGGAGAAAGATCCAGATGGGGAGTGCAGGCGGCTGGCCTTGCAGAACTTGCTACTAATGGAGAACCTGAAAAAGAAACTTGAAACTGTCCCTTCCTAGCTGAAGGGTGAAAGAAGTGACCTTTACCTCATACTCTTGCCAGCTGGATGTGTGTAGGCACTGCTGGGGCCTCTTCAGCAGTCACCTGGCTGGAGAAGAGGAAGAAGGGGGAAGGGTGCAGAGCTGTAAGCCAGCAAACCTGACTTGACATCTGGACTTTGTAGTGGAGGCCAATTTAGTGAGCTATTGCTATCCGGTACGGAGTGTACAGATGCAGGAAGGTAGGCTAGCACTGCCATCCTCCCCACACCTCCCCAGCCCCCACCCCCAGCTATTTATAACCTTGGCAGGTTTGAGTGCTCTGCTAAAAATACAGGGAAGATCTCATAGCAGACTTCTTGTCAGAAAAACAGGAGGGCTGGAAAGGGCCGCTTACCTCCCAGGGCTAAGCCCATAATACGCCTGTAACAAAGGTTCCCATGTCTTCTAGCAGTCAGCATTTGGTGGAGTCGTCATTGGTTTGC